AGATTAAAACATGCACAAAGGACTCATATTTGACCTATGAAGCTTGATGAATGGGATAAGGATGAGAAGAGGAATATAAAGATAAGAGACAAAAGCCCTTTAACTTTTGTCCCCAAAAGCCACGTGCAACATGTGATAAAATCTCAAACAAATTAGCCTAATATTTAAAAATAAGATAATTATAATTTTGATCCCTAGCATTTTACCTTCTATGCGAAAATCCTCTTTTATGGCCATTCAAGCTCAATTTACATCCAATTAATCCTCCACTCAGCCCAACGACTTTAATTACAAACTCTACATGATCCATGTACTTTTGGGGTCAACCCAAAACTATTAACAAAAAATTTGGGTGTTATATAGAATACTTTGGACAACTGACTACCACCATTTATAACTTTCATTTTTGAACATTACTATTACCCCCTTTAATTTCTGCTTAGGCCTCATATCCATCTCGTCCATAATCCTCTCATTATCTTCCAACCAATATTCAGCATTGGTTAGAGGTTCTTTAGTAATGCCCTTAAATATGACTACCTTAGTAGCCACAAGCTATAGTAGATCTCTAAAACATATGAAAGACATCTTTATTTATGGAATCGTCATTCATCCCAATATCCTCATCCTCAATTATGGGAGGGTCTCACGTAAGTGTAACCAGATCTAGAGGGGTGAGTGGATCCACACGTGTAATATAAAGATCTTGAGGTAGCATATGATTATCTATAGAAATAGAAGGTCGAGTCGCTCACCAACAACCATGACCACGTCCTGGCCTACGCATTGTCTATCACTTATATGACAAATCTACAAGGCTCTACATAAAAGATTGAAATTGAGGTTAGACTGAAATAAGAAATCTCAAATTTATTTGAACTTTTATAAATTAGGTGACATGATGTTTGATAAAATAATTCGTTTTTCCTAATTTATATTATAATATCAGAAAATATATTTTTAAAAAATAAATATAGTATTTAGGACTTATCTACAGTCTAAATATTTAAAAACCAAAAAGTTCTGCCACCACTAAATGTAACCTCCTAAACCCGAACAAAAAATTACTATCAGATCTAGTCAGTCACATCATATCCCAGAAAAACTTTCATGTGTAAAACATAGTTAAAATCAATAATAATAAATAAAGATATTTATAATAATATATTATGAAAATATCCAATAAGTAAAGTCCATAAGATAAGCATATAAAGGTACTATAATCAGAAACCATACAAAAATATGCTCAGAAAAAAATATCGATAATACAAATATACAAAGACATTAGTAAAAACCAATGTCACCAAAATATAACAAAAAGAGGCACATAGAGGTATACCATGGGTAAAAAAAGGAGAAAAGATCGATCCTCGTGATTCCAAGTCTGCTAGCCTACTAATTGATAATATCTGAAAAGGTTAAAAATTAAAGAGTGAGCTAAAAAGCTCAGTGTGTTCCTTAATGTGTAAAAAAACATATTGATATCAAACACTTTGGTAAAATTTATTTAAAAAACATGACCATTACCCCCATTCGAACACTAGAATATGTAGGTTCCCTTAAAACATACACCCACTTGTTCACCGATAAATAGGATAAGGACTTACGGTAAGGACTTATTCTATACACAAAGTACAAAATCATGCGGTAAGGTCTTACATGTCATAGACTAAGTCTGATATACTTCCTCCAATAATACCCCTCATGACATTAACAAATATGCATATATTTAATTGAAAATAGTAGTTTGATTACTTAAAACATGAAATATTTCCACAATTTAAAATCATATTAAGAAATACGATAATCAAAGATCATGCCAAATATACATTGTAAATCAGATATCAAACCCAAGTCATACAATAAATCATATATCACGCCATCAAAATATCCAATATTATCAAAAGTCTAGAGCAGTTCAGGTAAATAAATCAAAACAAAAATATAACACCATTAGGAACATATTTGTATCAGCCTAAGAAATATGATAGAGTAGCATACTATCAGGTCTACCTATCACGATCTTCGATAGTACTAGAACCTAAGTACCAAAAGAAATTCAATTACTATCCTAATATAAGAAACTATAAACTTATTTAAATAATTTACAGAAACCTACGAGTAACACTCATAATATACGAATCATGAGGATCTATGTTAGATATAGTTAATCCTTGATCAAGGAAAGCACAAGTAACTTCATAAAAATATGTTCCCAAATCAATTCTATATTCAAAATCCAATAACCATATTAAAATAATAAAGTTATTAACATATTTTTGGGTTAAAATGCTAATTTAGGGGCTTTTAGTGTTAGAATTTGGTGAAACAGACTGCAAAATTGGACTTAGGATGTTGAAAAACATCGAGATGATTTTTTTTTGAAAAATTCAACACTAATAAATCATCAAAGTCAAAGTCGATCAAAGGTTGTCAATATCGATCAACGATCAACATTTAAATATAACATTTAACTGTTTAAAATTTTAATATAACAAATGAAAAATAAATAATGCCCTTGAAACGAGAGAACATAAAATGCTTTAGTGGTTGAAGGGTCAGTTTGGTATAATCTTTGAAAAGTGATTTTTAAAAGTACTGTATAAACGATTTTTTAAAAATGTTGTACAAAAGTACAGTTTAAAATTTAACTGTTTGAGATTGTTATTAAAAAGTGAGTTTGAAAAGATAAAATGTCCATTATATTGTAAATTAAAAATATAACATTTAAATTAATATTTACACTTATATATGAATCATATCAATTTAAACTATAATTAATTCAAAAAATTATTATTATATATGAATTATATCAATTTAAACTATAATAAAAATATAAAAATAAAAATAAAAATATAATTATAATAAAAATAAATTTTATATAACTCACTATTAATATTTTAATATATAAATAATGAATTTTATTTATTTTTAAATAATTAAAATAAATTATTAAAAGTAATAAAGTATTTTTTAAGGATGTTAGTATTAAATTATTAAAATAAAATGTAAATATATACTTGAGTGGAGCTCATGCATTAGTAAGAGTAAATTTATAATGTGTTTCCGAACTTTTATGGTTAATTTGAAACCATTGTTTTCACTATATTTTTTATTTTTTTATTTATTTTTCATTGACTTTACGGTCTAAATAAATTTTTTAACTAAAATTACTTTTAGAAAATATTGCCAAATGGACCCGAAATGCTCTAATAATAGCCATCAATACAACTGCTTCGACAAGAATGGTAATCTTGGCCCAAAATCATAGTATACTATAGGCTTAAATCAAATTTTATAGAGTACAACACTTTAATACATCACTTTTTTGCCTTAATAGAACACACAAAAGGCCACGACGGGGACAGAGCTATGTTAAGACTTCAAGGCCCTGAACCCTATAAATTTTTTTTATATTCGATAAATTTTGGTTTAATATTATTTTAGTTCATATAAAATACACATTTAAATTAAAAAATATAAGAATTTATTAAATATTTAATTAAGTGTTTATATTTGTAGATCCAACTTGAGATTTTTTTTTCAAAATAAATGTCTTTTTAAATTAGAGACAATCATATTTGAAATTATTTAATATTTTATATAAAAATGAAACCTTTATTAAAAAAGAAACCATAAGTGCAACATTGTAAGGATAGCATATATAAAAGACCCAACATGCTTGAAGAAAAGAGCAAGAGACAAAGGTCCAACAAAAGCCTTTATCCAAACATAAGAAGAGAACCCCAAAACACAACAGAGATATGGTCTTCTTTGCTCCATGATAATAACTATCACCGCAATTTATTGGTGAACATGAATCAATTTTGGTCCAACAGTCCACTTTGTGATGATTCAAAGGTTTTAGAGAAGGCTCCCACATTGATCGCATACAGGGTTTGATAATAGGAGAAGATGCACTAAACCTCCTGAAAGATTAACTGCATGTACATTATTTTAGATAAATTATTAATTTTAGTTCATTATGTTGGGAAGAAAAAATAAAAAAATTATACACCAATTTTGTTATAGAAAAGGAGTATTAAAATTTCAAACTTTCACCTTTTAATTTTCAGATTCGTCATTGTTTAATAAAGTATAATATTATATAGATTCAAATCGAAGTCGAATCAGAGCCAGAGACGCTAGAACTCGATAACGATGATTAAGAGCTTAGACCATGGACACCTGAAACAACCTATTTGATATCAAACACATTAAAATTCAGGGAAATGATCACGTGCGGTAATCTTAATATATAGATAAAAAAGGTGTTACCGGTTTTGTTATTATTTAAATAACAAAATCGGTAAAAAAATTACCGAAAACATTATTATTTCTACTGATTTTATTTTGTTATTATTGGGCTTTAGTTATTTTTTCTACCGGTTTTGTTATTGTTGGGCATTTTACCGAAAATGTTAAAAACATTATTGTTTTATGTATAAATAATAATATTTTAGGTAATTTTTTATCAGTTTTGTTATTTAAATAATAACAAAACCGATAACTTTTTTTAACTGTATATTAAAGGTGCCGCACTGTAAAACTTCTATAAAATTCAGTATGTGATTTTTAATACATTATTAGATAATAGAAAACAAAGTAAAATAAAAAGGAAACAGCGTGTGAAGCACACACTTGGTTGGGGAATGACGTGGAAAATGGAATCCATTATTCATCTCAGATTTTGTTATGTTAAACCCAAACCAAGTCCATCCCCAAAAATGCGAAACAGATTGAACTTCAAATAGAAACAAAATAAAATCCGCCAACACAATAAAGGAGAAGCAAAATGCACCACACAAACATGGACCCAATATCCGGTGCAGCCAATGGAAACTCTCTTCTCAGTATCCTTTATGTCCATTTGGCACCCTTTTTCTTCTATTTTATCGTAAAAATCCCACATACGCATCCCACCATTATCATTAATATATACAATAATATTATACAAAATCATTAAATCTCGAAAAAAAAGATCTTAGTTTGTATTATTTTGTAAAAGAAACTGTGGAAGGCCAGTTCCCACTCTTACGGCCTCTTCCTTTGCTAACTGTTCTACTCTGCACTTTGGAACAAAACCCCTTTTTTCATATTTCTTCTCTTGGTAATTTCAATTCCTTCTTGTTTTAGCTGGCTGCTGGTTTTAAGGTAAGCTTTATTCATTGGCCTTTACTGAACTTATGGATAAGATTGTTCATGTTCATGTTTTTTTTTCCTTACATTACATGGATATGTGTTGTTGAATTTTGTTGCATGCTTCTTGTTTTTGTTCATAAACAAGTAAAAAGAACATAGTCTAGTATGAAAGTTTGGAAGTTTATACCAATTGCAGAGTTTGACGCTGTGTTTGATGGATATAAAGATTATTTTTTTTGTTTCTTAAAATGACTGAACATTGTGATCATTACTCAATCCAGTGAAAAAGGAAACTTGGGTTCTGCTTAAAAATTGATATTCTTTATTTTGGGCACATTATTACTTAAATCAGATGGGTATCATAAAAGGGTATTGGACTATTGGTATTTTCTTTGTTATTTATTTGACTAGTTTCAAATAATGAATATCAGTCAGTTAAAGCCTTTAAACAATTAGTTTAATTTATTAAATTCTCTTTTGGTCATCAGCCATATGTTTCTGGGATTTACTTGAATTGGATAAAAGTGTTACTAATTGGGAAAATCAGCCCTTTTATTAATTTACTTTCTTTTAGTTTGATTTCCCATTGTTATATACTTTGTGTTTGATAGAAATAATCCTAACTCTACATTTACCCTTCTTGTAGCAGTGTCATGAAGGAGAATTAGGGTACAAAAAAGAGAGATTTTTTTAGCCTAGTCACATACCGGATATACGAAGGCTCAATTATTATACGGAATTGTTTTAGTTTGAAAAGCTTGATAAATTGTGTGATGGTAATTGCAGCAAAGTGAGAAGAATCTTTATGATGGCCATTGCTGCTGTGATTGGGCTTAGCACTGGAAAGAGATTCTTGAGTTCTTCCTTTTCTTATTCGGATATCATAGAGAAGCTCGATTATGCCAGTGATCATGGATCTTCATATTATCAGTTTTCTTGCACAAAAAGTTTGGTAGTTGCAAAAAAATCATCTAATTGTAGCCAAAGTCTTCCGTCATCCAACCAGCGCACTCCGTCAATTAAAGCTCTTAAAGAGCATGTGGATGCTGCCTCTAGTATTTCAACTGTAGAGCCTTGGTTTGATGGATCCAATGACTCAGAAGAAGAATGCTATGATCTTGACTACTCTGTGGAGGCTCTTCTTTTGCTTCAGAAGTCTATGCTGGAAAAGCAATGGACCCTTTCTTTTGAGAGGACGGAGTTCACTGAATCACCAAGTAGGAAAACCCACAAGAAGGTACCGGTTACTTGTTCTGGGGTGTCTGCTCGGCAACGAAGATTCAATACTAAGAGAATGGCTCTGAGCAAAAATAAATCAGTGATACAACCTAATGCTAAGCAGCTAAGATCATTGATTGGTCCAGAGCTGCTTCAAAGTCGATTGAAGGGTTACGTGAAGGGTGTAGTGAGTGAAGATTTGCTTAGCCATGCAGAAGTTGTGCGCTTGTCGAAAAAAATCAAAGCTGGGCTTTCCTTTGAGGATCACAGGTTAAGGTAATGAAACTTATGATGATATATGATGTGTATTAGATGGATCAATCTAGTTTGAAAACCATTAAATTCTTTAAACTTATTTCTAATTGTTTTCGTGGAATTCTAGACTAAAGGAGAGACTGGGGTGTGAGCCATCTGATGAACAGCTTGCTACAACTTTGAAAATTTCTCGTGCTGAGTTACAGTCAAAGTTAATTGAATGTTCTTTGGCAAGAGAAAAATTGGCTATGAGCAATGTTCGATTGGTTATGTCGATAGCACAAAGATATGATAACATGGGTGCTGAAATGTCTGATCTTGTACAGGTAGTTTACAAATATCAATTGTCATACATACACACCATCAAGTTCATCTGCTGGCACTATATCAAACTATTGACTGTTATGAATTTTTTTTGTTCTATTTGAAGGGTGGTTTGATCGGACTGTTGCATGGCATTGAAAAATTTGATTCTTCGAAAGGATACAAAATCTCAACTTATGTATATTGGTGGATTCGTCAGGTAATATTCATCTGGTTTTGTTGAGAAACATTGTGCATGGTATTATTTTTTATGGACTAAATGACAGTTTCTAATTTTAATGTCATCATTCCTGAAAGAGTTGGGTGCCTGAGATTCTCAACCATTGGTTCCATTAGTTTCTGAATATGAAAAGAACAGTCAATTTCCAGTCTTAGATTATTCTGTCTAGTCTTTCACTTCTTATTTTCGCCTTTCTTTCAAGTTTAAGAAAATAGGTTCCATACAACATTGTTTGAGTGATAGAATCTCGATGCGTGATTTTATATGCCTCAGCTATCTGGATTTGTCATGAGATATGAATCTACCTACAAAAGTTCCAAGTCTAGTTCTTCACTTGCAATATAGTTGATTATGATATTACAGAGTTTATGGGTTTTTTTTTTACTTTATGTTACTTTTTATTTTTATCGGTTAGGATTGAACAAAATCTAACATAGTTCATACTTTTGATCTCAGGGTGTTTCAAGGGCATTAGTTGAGAACTCAAAAACATTAAGATTGCCCACATATTTGCATGAAAGGTTAGGATTAATCCGAAATGCTAAACGTAGACTGGAAGAGAAAGGAATAACACCAACTATTGATGTAAGTGGCTTCCATTATTCGAATTGCATCATTATATTTCAAAATAAAATTAGGATGTTTAATTTGTCTCTGGGATTTACCTTATGGAAGTATTTGATTCTTTTTGTACTTTCAGAGGATTGCTGAGAGTCTGAACATGTCGCAGAAGAAAGTTAGGAATGCTACAGAGGTACGATTTGTTCGGAACTTACTTTCTTGGAACCATATATTGCACTTTCACTTTCCATCCTCATGCTATGTTTTTTATTATATGCAGGCAGTCAGTAAGGTCTTCTCCCTTGACAGGGATGCGTTTCCGTCTTTGAATGGTCTTCCCGGAGAGACTCATCATAGTGTAAGTTTCGGTTTTATATGAACCAAACTCGGTTTTTTTCCTGTTATCTACTATTAACCTGTTTTCTTTTTATCTTTTCAGTACATTGCAGATAACCATGTAGAAAACAATCCGTGGCACGGTGTGGATGATTGGGCACTCAAGGTAGAGAAAAAAAAATGAATCAACAAAAGCTTTCTGGTGTTGTATTTGTGTTCAATATGAAGAAAATATAATGTTCATGTGATGTATGTTCCATTTGCAGGATGAAGTAAACAGACTCATCGATATAACACTCGGAGAACGCGAAAGGGAGATTATTTGCCTTTACCATGGTCTCGATAATGAAAGTCTTACATGGGGGGACATCAGTAAACGGTGAGCATATGCATAATTATTTTCTTTATTGTCGACAACCGGTTAGAGCGAAAGAATATGCATGATATTTGAGTGCAATTTGATGTCTGTCATTAACAAAGCAAATATCTTAGATACTTATTCCTCAAGTAACAGTGATGGAAGTTGAATATAACTGAAGAAAAAGAACATGCTTGTTTATAACTGCGGGCTTTTTTCTCCATGAATCTTAGTGTGTTGAAATTGTGACTACAACAGTCTCTTTCTGGTTTCATTTATCGAGCAAACATCGTTTGATTTTGACTCTTTTCTTTTTCTTTTGTAAAATCTGTAGCATAGGTTTGTCCAGGGAAAGAGTTCGGCAAGTCGGACTCGTGGCGCTCGAGAAACTAAAGCACGCAGCGAGGAAGAAGAAGATGGAAGCTATGCTAGTGAAACATTGATTTTGTATGTTTGAACATACACATGGTATAAAGTGACTATATATACAGAAAAGGGAGAATTTGTGTCTTCAAATTATTTTTCCTATCAATAGTAACTATAGAAGATCATGGTAGGGGCCTTAAAATCCTAAACTTGCTGTAACAAATTGATTTTATATTTTTTATGTACTATATTTATGGAGACAAAATAACTGGTGTTGGGTCAAATTTTTTTTTCTAGTTATGTTGATAAACAAGTAATCTCAATGCTGATGTTGAACTTATTTTCCTATTGAATATTAAGAATATTCAAATGTAAAAAATGTTTAGTTTACAGTTCATGTGTTTATTTATTATCTGAATCCAAATTCAATGATCAACGATTTATTTATCCGCTCACATATTATTTAGTTTTTGTTTTAGTAACACAACTATTATTTTTCTTAAAATTATATTTTAGTTCTATTTTAGTTAGTGGTGGATCCAAAAATTTAAGAATGATATTCAACATTTTAATATTCTTTTTTTTTTAAATTAACTTATGCAATTTTTTTTTTTATTTTTGCAAAAGAGTATAAGGGGTTTTGTACTTTTGTAAAAAAAAATCATTATGACCTACGTATTATTTGTTCTCTCAATGTGACCCTCGGGTTGGATCAATATATGATTAGCTATTTTTAGTTTGGGTCAACTTTAGATCTTCAAGTCAATTCAAGTTAAGTTAGATATAAGTTAAATCAAGTATATATAGAATTATTGATATATTTTTGTAAAAAATGTGTCTTTTTTTAAAAAAAATCTTATCATTTGTATTCAATTTCATTCAAATTCAATTATCATTTACAGATTAAATTTAATTCAAACTCGACCTATAAGATATGTTAGAGTTTGTAATATTTTTTTATTGATCAAGACTGAAAAGTTTATTGTACGATCTATTTGATTAAAAAATATTTTTTTAATTATAAATTTTATTATGTATTAAAATTTTAAATTAGATACTTAACATTTAATTATAAATATTATGTTTGAATAAATATTATTTTAAATATATTTATAAATGATATTATATTATTATATCATCGATAATATTTTAATTTTAAATTATAAAAGAATAGATATTTTTATATTATAAAAATAAGTTATTTATGTAGTATTAAATAAGTTATTTTTATATTAAATTTAAATAACTATATTTTTTTCATATACAAAAGATGAAATTCTTTGTAGTGAGTTTTGGAAAGTTATTTTAGTAGTTCCAAAGTAAAATATAATAATCCATTTCAATCTTAGTTTAACCTAAATTATTTTTCAAACATATAATAGTTTAACTTGCCTAATGATTTTATTAACAAGAGATGTGATTAGTATATACAAATAATTTAGTATAAAATTGAAATATTAAAAAAGTTTGGGGGACTAATTTAGGATGAAAATCTTAGCTTGGGGAGGAAAATGAAATGTTCAAAAGTTTAAGGACTAATTTAGGATAATAGTCATAGTTTAAGGATGAAATTGAAATGTTTAAAAGCTTAGTGACTAATTCAAAATGAGGTGATAGATTGAGACATATGATGTAATTAACTCATTAATATTCTTAAATTGATTTAAATAAATTGAAAATTAATTTAATAATTTATTTTAGTATTTTTATACATTTTAACTCAATTATTGAGTTAAAATCGGGTCAATGTTAAGTTAATATTGAGTTTAAATAAATTAAATTCAGTTACTTCGGTTCGGTTGGCCTTGGTTCTAGTTGCTTCCGGTTTGGCTAAAATTCGGATCGGATTCAGTTTGATTCGAGTTTTTTGGATTTCGAGTTAAATTTAGGTCATCATGTTCAGGTCTATTTCAAGTCTCTGTTCGAGTAATCGAGTCCTGGTCAAATGTACCAGATCTGACCTTAACCTTAAATTTTGTTTATTCTTTATTAATATAAAATCTTTAGATAAAATTAAATTATGAGTGACATCTAATTAAATGAATCTAAAAATCTAAAATAAATTATTATAGAAATTTATTTTACGTTCTTTGCAAGACTGATCTTTGAATAATAAAACTTTTTGTGAACTAAAAATCTTTGAAAAACTCCTTCGTAGTTAAAGCTTCAAAAGGACATTTTGGTATATAGGGTCTCAAGAGCTCTATACCTTTAAAAAAAATATGATCTCTTGGCATGAACTATGAAAAAATCACGTGATTTACCAGAGTCAAAATTTATTATCAGTTAATCATATTTATCATATATCTAAAATCAACACTAAAAGTCATTATAAAATTTTTTATGCAAGACTAAAAGCATGATCTAAAAATCACATTAAGAATTTCATTCTTTTCTCTCACATGGAGACGTAAGATCTTAATATTGATCAATCTTTGTTTAACCACTAGTTATGGCTCTTTGTCTAAATCAAAATAAGTGAATTTCCTATAGCCATCATAAGCAACTTGCTTCCATTAACAATTTGTATGGTGAACATGAAACACCTTATAATAGAAATGAATATGTAATACCCAAATTTTGCTCAGGCTTCAAATTTATCTAAATTATATAGAGTCTGTTCACACTGACCTAGGTGAAAAGGAGAGTGTCATCATATCACATCAGAGAACATCACGAAAATATATTGTCATATTTAGTGTGATCTCCTTTTAAGGGAAATGATTATATTAATTGATGTAATTAGATAATATTATATATTATTTTCATAGATAAGAAGATCTTGTAACACCCCAATTTAGGGGCTAAATTTTAAGAAATTATAAAGTATTGGATTTAATTGGTATTTTGGAAGAAAATTGAGGATTAAATTATAAGATTTCAAAGTTGGCAGACCGTTTTAAGAAGTGTATGAAATTCAGTGGCTAGATTCATGATTTAACCATTTTTTATATTTGATGAAATATAACTCCCCTACCCGTGTTCAGTTTCCAGAATTCCCCTATTTCCCTCTCCCGTTCACCCTACTTCGATCTCTGATCTACACGCCGTCCGACCTCCGATCGACGAGCCGAAACCACCATCGTGTTCGTTGTCGAGCGAGGAACAAAACCCCTCAAACCTTTTGTAGTGAATCGTCGACGTTCGTCGTGAATTTCAGTCGGAAGTATCGTCGGTAATAACTCGATTTCAATTGGTTTTTCATCGATTCACGACGATCCGAGCGTCCGTTTACGACACCTCCCACGCCATCGTGTTCCTTGTATCGTTTCGAGTCCACCGGTGTTTTCTGTTTCTCCATCGTCGCCGGCACGTGGAGGGGTGAGACCGTCAAAGTTTCCAACATTTTGGAATCGAGCTCTCCGCCGTTCAAAATTGTGAGCCGAGCTTTGTAAGTGCCTCAAAATCGCTTAAAATAATTTTTAGGAATTTTTCCGGGAATTTTTCGACACCGTAGCACTGTTCACGCACCACACGCGCCACCTCCCGAGAGTGGGCATCGTCTGGGTGATAATTTAGTAATTAATTTATGTTTGGGTGCTATTTGTGTAAAATCCGGGTGTTAGATTGGTAAATATTTGCAGAATGTGACTAATTTGGTAATTAATTTCTGTTAGGGTGATATTTGTACAAAATGGTCAACTATTGACCGTTGATCGTTGACCGGCGTTGACCACTGTTGACCAAAACTTTGACTGGCTTTGACCGGGCATTAAACGACCTTTGACTTTGACCGAGTATACCTCTCATGACATTTTTCGACGTTCCAAATCCGATTCCGCAGTCCGTTTTTTCAAAATTCAAACCCGAAGGCCTCGAAATTACCGATCAAACCTGTTGACTTTGATTTTTGACCGAAAATTCCAAATTTTTGAAAAGTCATATTTTATGCTTTCGATGTCCTGAATCCGAATCCGAAGTCCGTTTCGCCAAATTCGATCTCGTTAAGATGTTTTTCACTGATTTATCACCCGATTCGATCCGTTTATCGTAATTAAGCTCCATTTTTTTATATAATTTATGTTAATATGAATATGAGGAATTATTGGAAGTTAAATTGAAGATCAAAGGCGTTCGAATGGAATTTTCATGGTCGATCAGTATTACACGGAAATCGAGGTAATACTTTTACTACCTCTTTATGCTTATGGAACATGTTGATATTGGTAAATGCATGAATAAGATAATGTTGATCACTTTTGTGGAGTTGATTAATTTATACACTCGATATGAATGTGGTAGAAATTTGATAACTGAATTCGGATCGAATGATTAATTTGATCACTTTACTACCTCTTTATACACTCGATATATGTGTGATTTGTGATAAAGAAATTAGCCATGGATTTGTAACTTATATTTTAAAGGTTAAATGTTTAATGTACTTGGATGAAAAATTATAAGAATACTCCGGTAGGGTAAAATTACAAAAATACCCTTATATTGTAAGATGACAAGAATTGTCCCTGGAAGTTGGTTAACAACTCTGAAAAGATATATTGATACGATATAATTACAGATGTGCATAAGAAATGCTAGTTTTGCTTAGAAAATTTGGATAATTGGTTTTTAACCCTAAAAGGGTTTGTATAAGATACTATAAGTCTGTTAAGGAATCATTTCGAGATCAAAGAATGTTCGGGAAAACAATTAACCATTGGATCTCTAAAGTATAATTATTTTCGTTAAGAGTTAATACTGAAATTATCTGATTAAGAAATTATAAAAATGCCCTTGAGAGGTAAAAATAGTCCAAGTTGACTCTGAATGAGGAAGTAACACGAGAATTTGTTTTTAAACCGATAAATTACTAATTTGATTGTTGAGATCCTATTTTTGTATGGAAAATTCTGATAATCCGTTAGTAACATCTGAAAAGGCATTTAACTTGGAAATCTCTGACTTTAGTAAGTACGTGAAGAATAATAATTTATCAATGGTGATATTTTGTCAGAATAGTTCAAAGGGACTGACATAATTGATAAGTTTCAATTAAATAATAAGACCGAACGGAAGGAAATGATTGAAATATTCTAGATTGTAAAATGACCAGAATACCCATGGAATGGAAATGACTCAAGAATGTCACCAAGCTCAGGAATGAA